CTCCCGCAGCCGTGGTAAATGCGCCCCCTGTACACCGTAGGTACATGCAACAAACGGTACGTGCTAGGGATAGAGGTCGTTAAAATAACGTAGAGTTCGCTTTCCGCTGCCACCAGTGTAGAGTCTCGAGACTACCCACCGGGTGGAAGGAGGCAATGAGTGAAGCTGGACACACGTGTTCAAATACGACAAGGCAACGAGACCTGAGCATGACCCGAATGTCAGCCCACGTGTACAAGGACCAGACAAATCCCAGTGACCGCCAAACGTCATGTGGTCACATAAACAAAGTATTACACTAGCGACAACCGAATTGGTCCGGAAGGAGACCTTAACACATTGGTCTGCCACAGCTGTGACAGGATAAATGAACTTAAGCGCATTTCCGAAAAGAAGGAACTCCTACGCTGTGGCGTCCCGAGACTATGCCCCGAGCCTGAACTTGGCCTGGAATCCAGCCCGCGCATGCAACTACCGGACCAACAACAAAGTAACCGCTAGATACCCAGTGGCCACATAAAAACATTACAAACATTAAGATGCTAAACTTGTGAAACTCGGGCACCAAATTTTCCTATATAATTCACGGCCACGACGCTCCAGATATTGGTAGCGCAACTGGGATATACTGAAGTAGAGTAACAAGGGAAAGCAGAACTTATCTCCAACCCTGCTGCGTAGAGTCCAAAGAATTGCCAAAATAATGCTCACGTAATTTGCACGGTGAAGGCACGCCAAAAAGCGCTGCACATCGGGACAAAATCCATTACCAAGCCATCCTCCATTGCCGCTACCCCAAGCGCGGCATTCAAAGAACTCTCAATGGGTAGAAGACTGTGTTCAGAGGTAAAGATTGAGATTTGTCATAACCAAAGTAACCGCGATTTAGACTCGTAGTCAAATAAACTATGTAACCTAATCACAGTGAAAGGTAGCCCACTTGTCTTACAAAAAACCAAGTCAATATCGTACACACGTACGAAGACGGTATGAACAATAATAACAGCGTACTTATCACCCAGTAATGTAACAGAAGTCAATTACAAGTTTAACATCGAACAATTCACCAATACAACTACCGAAGTAGACGTCAGGGAAATGAAAAAAAAGCGAAATGAGAGGATGGTGACAACTACTTCAACACGTCAAACAATTACATCTTCACAGCAATCTGAACAAAGGCCACACAACAAAACGCCCCACTATAAAACGCAGGTAAAAGATACAACACAATCCCATAAATTTTACCGCTCCGAGAACACAACTTACTGTCTAAGTGAATAGAACCAATTTAAGCACCTTCCGGTGCAACGGACTGCCCAACCCCTTTTGAAGTTGAGAAAAACACATTTCCGCCGACCTTGTCGTAAAATAAATCTTATCATCACCTGCAATCGCTAGGATTAGTGTAGTGTACAAAAAATACAGCATTAGTTTGTAAACAGCAGAGCATAAGGCCTCACACGCTTCCTGAAGTCCAAAGTACCCTGTTAAAAGGAGTTACAATAAGGAAAAGTGCACAATCAAAGACAAGGAAACCAAAAACGCATACCGACTATACATACAATATGGACGATAACATCGTCCTAGCCCTCTTAACATTATTGCGCAAAATACCAGTTAACGTAAGATAGGCGTGCTTGAATGCGGCCAAAACCATGTCCGACGCGTAAGAACCTCCAGTTACATTATGACCCGGATAAAGAGGATCCTCAATGTATAAGAAACGATCGAATAGGTAATAATTCTTCACTTCCGATGACATTTTGGAGATAAAAGACCAATTTCCCGAAAATTTGATCCCTGTTCTCCTGTAATTGAATCGAATCCCGTAGAACTCGAAAAATTCCAAAAGCAGAGTTCCCAAGTTTATGGAATTTATGCTCTCGTTCTTCATATTGTTTTGCTATCACACAAAAAAAACGTAAATTCATGGACGCCAAAACACAACACAATCCAAGAAAGTCATTTTACCTGTAAAAAACATATGCACATCAATACAAGAGCGTAAGAACTGAGACCTCCAGTGCAAACTTCGTTAAGCTCACGCAGAAGAAGGAACTGCTTCAGTGTTAAGACGAGGTAACGAAGACAGGGATAATTCTCAAGACACATCCGCACAAATTTTGTGGTGCGTACACCGTTTGTCACATTGAAGCTTATATCAACATGCAGTCCAGTGTCAGCGTCCGTAAACTTCACGATCGGCACTGTCGCCTTTGATATGACCTTAATATCAGTAGCGAAGTTGTTCTCCTTCAGCGCCCGTTCCAGGGTACCTAAGGGCAGCTGCGCCCACTTGCCAAACAGGACTATATCCACATCACTCGTGGGCAAATAAAGACCAGTGCTAAAGCTCCCGAAAACCTCAACCTACATCACTAGACACAGAAAAAGATGCTCACCTTGCATTCAGGCCACAGGGAAGAAACGAGGTCCCGCACCTTTGAGATAATTATCTCCCGCAAAAAACATCCTTCGTACGATGGACCAATATAATCCACAAAATCTATGATTTCCTCATGAAGACTTCACAATAACCTTATCACTAAATTATTACCCCACAACACCCGGGCTATACACTTTCCCTTCCGGTTTCCACAATGGATCCTGCGCACACTCACCACGCTCAGACTTCTCCTTCAAACATGGGTGTTTCTCCTGATGAGCCATGCTACTGGTAATCAAGTCGTTCTTTGTGGTCCTACAAAGACAAAACCGGTAGGCCATCACATTGGTTCACGACTAGTTCACTGAACGCGCAAAGAGTCCTAAACCACGCACCACTCACAAGAAACTCAATTTCATAGAACGCGCCGGTCCAAACAGCCCGATAATCCAACTAATCAAACGCGACGATACAATTGCATCTGGCTAAATTAATGCCATCACTAGACTATAGTAAAGTCACTATAAAATCCATTCACTTATTTCTTCTCGTAAACTCTGGTCCTAAGCCAGATGGATCCGTATTCTGACACCGCAAAACAATGATTCCCACAACTTGCTCACCTAAACACATTCACTTCTTACTGCAAAACTGTTGCAGAACAAATTCTTTACGTAAAATTTTTTCATAGTTGTGCCATTAATCAGCGCCTTATCAAAGTTGCGAAATGCTTGCACCAGTGTCACTTCCGGCACTCCAACAATTGGAAACATACCACGCACTTCCCTTTCTCCTGCCAGTCTTTCCAGCACGTTTAAAGTTAGTTGTGCTGAGCAGCTGTGCATCATAGACGATGATGCACCTGCCTACTACCGGCAGATCCGAATGGGCCACAAATGTATCCTCACTTACAAAGCTACACTACGCGTTGACGACTCCGATCCTGTTAGACACTTTTGACGGCACCTCACACGCCTCCATTTGCCGGAACATTGACCGCCACATCGTCTGACAAATCCAATGCACTTACCCACCCTCGAAGGGATCGAGCCATTCTCCGTCGCGTATCCTCACCCAGAACCTATGCAATGAAACTATTCAAACGGCGTACATTTGCACAGTATTATTACGAGGCCTCCCACTAGGAGGAAGAAGGCATTCAATAGGGCTGAAAGTGTGCGACTGAGGAGTTAGAAGGGGAGAGTTGGCTTTGGCTTTAGCTTTACCTTGGCACGTATGCCATATCATGTGCACAGGATCTTAAGAGCCAAACCTACCTCTAGTCATGCAGACAGTCCCACAGCCAAGGCATAAAACTAAGGCCCTCATGGCAATGATGCTGCGCATGAGACCTCAACTACTACTGGCAGTGCAAAGAAGAAAGTTCGCCTTTTGCTACTCTACTACAGTTTTTTTACCTTTGACCTGAGTATTGGAATTTTTGTGGTAAGCTTTGATGGAATGGACGAGATTAACACACCGGCTCCATGCGTTCGAAGACAGCATAATTGCCGGCATCGGAGACGTAATCGGCATTTGAAACACACAAATTTGGCCCAGAGGCAGACAGTGTGTGAAGAAGAGTAAA